AGCTCTGGGACCAGGGCTGGGGCAGTGGCTGCTGGGAGAGGAGTACCTGCCAGGCGGTGGTAGGTGGTGGGGGCTGTGGAAGATGAGTGGAAAGACACTCAGAAAAGCAGCCTAATCAAAGGGCAGCAGGCAGCGGATCAGTTGTGAGGACAGGGATGTGGGTCTGTGTGTTTCGGTCAGCCCATAGTTAACAAGTAACCGGACATCAAAACCAGAAGCGCCCTTCTTCACTTGGTTTTGTAGCAAAAAGGAAGCCAAAACCAAAAGAAAAACTAGTAAGAATTTAATAGTCAAGTAAAATGCCCCCGAGCCCCACAGTGAATGTGGCCCACCGTGTGGCGTAGCCTCTCCTTCCAGACCCGAGCTGTTTAGCAGAGCCTTCAGGAATGATGGGCGTGCCCTGTGTCCATGTGTCCGGCGCACAAGTGTAGGTATCAGGCACTTGGAATATGGCCACCACAACCATGGAGCCAAGCTTTGAGTTTTGTTTTAATTCTGATGAACTTCAATTTAAGCGGCCACATGAGTCCAATGGTACTGTACTGTAGTGGGCAGAGCAGTTGTAAAGCAGAGACCTGTCCAGTCCACAGGAGGCCCCGTGTAACAGGCAGAGCAGCACTCCTAACTGCTGGCCTGACCTGGTGGAGGGGTGGGTGGGGCCCTCTGAGGAAGGCTGTCAGCAGGACACGCAGGCCAGGAGGCTGTCTAGGCTCCATGCCTTCCTCAGACAACCTGAGTGGCCAGGAGTCTGCTCCCCGGGCAGTTGGCAGGATTGAAGTTAAAAAAGCAAGTAAGTGGCAGAGGCGTTTTGATTTGTGACAGGAAAATACCGTAGATCCCACCTGCAGATACTAAGCTGGAGAGCGCCCCACTGTGACCCCTCGTCCAGGCAGGCCTGAACCCTGGACCACCTTGCTGGGGACTTCCTCGGCGTCCTTGCCTGTGGTCTCCAGTTCATTCTTGCTTGCTTCTGAAGTGGAGCAAACCTTGCTCATGTCCTTGAGGACATTAGGGACAGAAAACCACGTTGGCTGTATGCAAGGCAGGTGCCCAGGCCAAATGTGGCAGGGGTGGCCAAGATGACCACCCCCAAGAGGGCAGGGTGACAGATATACAGCGCCTCGGTACAGGTTCCGCTTGACTGACCACAGGCTCAGGGACGGAAGCTCAGATGGACAGGACAGGGTGATGTGTCATCACCCACAAGAGGCCACCATAGCTAGCAGTCGGCTCCCACGGCCAGAGCAAGGGGAGGAGGAAGGGCACTTGTGGACAGTGAGCTTTTCTGAAACATCTCAGTGTCTACAAAAGGAGTGAGGGTGCCCCCTAGTGGCCTTGCATTTGTTCCCTGTCCTCAAACTTCAAAATCCCTTAACATCTTCCAGCAGAGTTGCTTGAACATTTTCTGCTGCAGAAATTTACGTGACTACCCAGGTGTATTTGTGTGTAGACATAAAGTCAAACAAGAGCCTCTTAAAAACAATGCTTATCCTTACCACATGCTGCTACTGCTGCTAAGTCGCTTCAGTCGTGTCTGACTCTGAGCGACCCCGTAGACGGCAGCCCACCAGGCTCCCCCGTCTCCGGGATTCTCCAGGCAAGAACACTGGAGTGGGTTGCCATTTCCTTCTCCAATGCATGAAAGTGAAAAGTGAAAGTGAAGGCGCTCAGTCGTGTCCGACTCTTCATGACCGCATGGACTGTAGCCTACTAGGCTCCTCCCGTCCACGGGATTTTCCAGGCAAGAGTACTGGAGTGGGGTGCCATTGCCTTCTCCGTTACCATGATGCAAAAATGTGTTGACATTTTCTATTTTATTTTTAATATGCATCATAACTTACTCAGCTGATTCACAATTCACTGATTGGGTTGTAACCCACAGTTTGAAGTCATTGAAAGGAAAGTCTGTGTCCCTAATCATCGCTTTTGAGACTGCTTCACCCAACCATGCACACTGCCCCCTCCTGCACCACCCCACCCCCCCGTCACAGAGATCGCCGACATGGGGCCTCAGCCAGGACTGGCAGGGGTCGTGGGACCTACTCTGGTAATACTTGCAGGTAATCAGGTTGTCTGTGTCATGATGGTCAGAGAGGTGAGGAGATAGAGGAGGAGAAGAAATAATAGATTAGGACTTTTTTTTTTATCGCACCCCACGACTTGTGGGATCTTAGTTCCCCAACCAGGGATTGAACCTGTGCCTCCTACAGTGGGAGCAGACAGTCGCTACCACTGGACCACCAAGGAAGTCCCGGCATCTTTTATTTATTCACTTATTATTAATTTTTTTAATTGTTTGGCTTTTCTTTTTCTTTTTTAAAAATTCTTTTTTTGCTTTTACTTTTAGGTCTATGATCCACTTCTGAATTAATCTCTCGTATCTGGTGCAAAGTATGATCAGTTGTTGTCACTGCCCTTTTGCATAGAGGTATTCAGATTTTTTTCTAGCACCATTATCACATGGCATGTGGGATCTTAGTTCCCCAATTAGGGATTGAACCCATGCCTCCTGCATCGGAAGGTAAAGTCTTAGCCACTCGGGGAAGTCCCCTGATGTCTCTTATTTTTAATGCAGGAAAACTGAGAGAACGAACCACAGTTTTCAGCATTTGTTTTACATATGTTATTTATCTTTCTCATTTATGGTACTTGCACTTTGGACAAGGTTGAGGGCAAATGAAACGAGACAAGCTGACTGGCCCTGGGACTCCAGACTCCTCTCCCCTGTCCCTCTGCTTCCCCAGCTATTAAGTGGAGGTTGGACTGGATGATTCTTTGAGCTGCTTCTCGCACAAACATTCTGTGACAGCAGTGTGGGAATCTGGAAGCCAGCGGTTGAAAGATGAACACGAAGGAGGTGTTGGACAGGGAGGAGGTCAGAGGCGGGCTGGGCCAAGGAGAAAAATGAGTGACAGGCTTGCCCTTGTTGGCAGCAGATACTTCAGAACATGTTCTTATTGCACCTTCCCTGGAAATAGTGCCTTCCAGAGCAAGCCCGGATCCTTCCAGCCAGTGGAATGCCTTTTCCAAGTCCTTTGAAACTTACAGCCTTTCTAAGCCAGCAGAACTGGAGTCCAGCTGGTTCCATCTCCTCCCTCTTAGAGAGGAGAACTTGGAGAAGGAAGGGGCTCACCCAGAGTCCGAGTTAGTCATAAAGCCAAGACTGGAACCACCTTGGAGAGATGCCCACCCCTTCCACCTGTGTGCCCCCCGCTCCCCTCTCTCACACACACACAAGCCATACTCCCTCAGGATCCACACCAAGCTCCAGCCAGAGGGCGCCCACTGCTCAGACCTCAGGGCGCTCAGACCCGAGGGCAGGGTGTCTGCGGACAGGCTCTCCCACCTGTCGTGTGCTGATGGAGACTGCACAGACATCCCTGGCAGGACACCTGGGCCCTACTGCATGTCTGATTATGTCGGGAGCCCTGGAGGCCCCCTGCATGCCAGCCGCCACCTGCACCCTCACCGCAGGGCCCTGGGCAGCTTGTGGCAGTCAGTGGCCTCGGCCCCCAGCAGTAGACAGGACGGGGAGGGGAGTGGGGCCATACGGTGGGGCGAGCAGCGGCCCAGCCTCGTGGGGAGCAGGTGTGACGTCCAGCTGTCTGAAGGAAGCCAGGTCTCATGTGCAGAGGTTTCCTGAGAGGACAGAGGCCCCTCTTGTGCCGGCTATCCTCCAGAGAGAGAGGCTGTAAGTTGGCAGGCTGCAGTCTGCTTTGTGTGTGAGAGAAACCCGTTCAAGGTGAAGGGGCTGCGAGTTGTCCTCAGGTGTGGCTCTGCTAACCCAGCGCCCGCCACCTCTTTAGCGACTCGGAGTCTTCCTGCTTTGGGATCTGTCCCTGATTCTTCTCTTGACTTCGTCAGCGTTCCCTCTGCCCTCTCATCCTGGATCTCCACACTAAGGATTCACTCCCCCATGTGTATTTCTTAGCAAGTATCATGGACATGCTTTGATTCCTGCAGACGGCCGTGGCCTGTCCTTTGGGGCAGGGACAGTCCTGCTGCAGCCCCTGTTTGCAAGATCTGGTGGGCCAGGGGGAGGCGAGACCCCTGCAGATGGGCAAGGCCCAGCGTGATGGGGCTGTGACCGGGGTGGGGTGAGTCTGCGGTGCAGGAGCATGGGCGCTGGGAGCGGGCGGCAGCTGCCGCGTGTGTCACAGCCCCTGGGGGAGGCACCGGGCACCCCCCCAAACTCCCGGTGTGTCGTGGTCACTGCAGTGCACTGCGTGTTGCATGGACATTCCCGCCCCCAGAGCTGCGTGAGAGCCAGTGAGGCCTCCGTGTCCCCGTCAGTGACCTGTGGCCACTGGCATCTTAACAGAATGTGCCAAGGAGCGGCAACTCAGTAAGGTTTAAAAACATACTGGGAACACTAGATTTAAAATTTAGGAGCTGCCTTTACTGCAGGACATCTCAGAGCCTTGACCATGTAAGAATGCCGTGAGTTTCGGAGAAAGTGGTACGGGGTTCCCCTCCCCAGACACTGGTGTTCCACAGAGCACACTTTGGGAACCACAGTACCTCTTTCCTGCCAGGCAGCTCCAGCAGCTGGTTCTCTGGACGTGGCGTGGGTCTGCCCTCCTTGTTCGAGGGGGCCCCCACCACCTCCCTCTCAGCCCGTGCCACTTCCCGCCCCTTCACCTTGCCCTTGTTCCTCAGGGAAGGGCCAGAGCAGGCTCATCGAGTCAGGGACTGGCGCTGTGAAGTTGGCATCCGTGGTGCTGGACACTCGCCCCACGGCTGTAACTCTGCTGGCGTGGGAGAGGAGGGCAGCCCGTTTGTGCCGGGCAGGTCACTGCGGCCCTGTTGTGCCCCCACACCTCGCCGCCCTGCCCGCCCTAGCCTGGCCCCCATGGCCCCCCAGACACAGGGCCTGCGGGCTCTGCCCCTGCGTCCGTGATTGGAAGGGCTCCCCATGTGCTCGGGGATGGCTGTTGGACTCCAGCAGGACTGCGGGCCTGTGCGCTGACAGCTCGCTGGCTGTGTTTGTGACATTTCAGGGACATCACATCCAACTCGCTCACCCCTGAGGATGCTGAGGACATGCCTGTGGGGCAGGATTCCGAGATCTGCTTGCTGAAGTCGGGGGAACTGATGTAAGTCGTGGGCCCTAGCTGGCCTTGCTGGGGTGGCGGGGTGGGGAGGTCACATTTGGGGAGGAGAGGAGGAACGCCAGAGGAGCTGGCCTTTCCACGGCCCCCCTGGAAAACACCCCTGTGCTCGGACTGGGCACCCATTGTGACTTTGAAAGTGTGCGCTACTTTTTCTTTTTTCCTTTCTTCTTCTTCCTTTTTTTTTGGTAAGATTTATATATAGTAAGATTTCCCATTTATAGAGTACACTGCTTAGATTTAGGCAAATAATACGGTGTAATCAATGATTATCTGGCGGCCCCCACATCCTGCTTGGCCAGTGACTTATACAATCTCAGGCCACTGTGCCCAACCAGTTCTACTCCCCGTTCTGCCAAAGAGGAAAGCTTGATCCAGAAAAGAAAAATGATTGCCCCGCCACGTGACCAGAGTGAAGATAGAGAACAGTCCCATCACCCTAGAAGGCTTCCCTGTCCTCTCATAGTCATTCCTTCCACACTTCTGTGCCCTGTGTGTGTTACAAGGTGGTGCTTACTGGGGAAGAAAAAAGGACCCCTCAGTTTTAAACAGAAAACACTAAGAAGGTAACACTTGAAGAACTTGCCATGCAGATATGTGAGGGAACAGCATTCAGGCAGAGGGAACAGTGCTTGCGCTGGGGCAGGATGGTGACTGGTATATATTCAAGGAATCCAGAAGGGCCAGTATGACTGGAGCAGAAAGCGGGAGAGAGACTGCATGAAAGAGGAGACAGGGCCCACTTCACACCAGGCCTTCTGGGCCATTGGAAGGACTTTTAATCTGAGGGAGATAAGAGCTTTAAATTAGATTTGGGTTAGAAGCATGACTTAACCTAACTTACATTAGAAACAGGGTCACTCTGGTTGCCATGTGAAGAATGACTCTGCAGGGACAGAAGTACGGAGACCAGTAGAATTTACGTTTGTAATGTGAGTGCTGTAGACAACAGACTTTTTTAAGATTATATTTGAGCAGAGATAGCAAACCCTTGCTATCTTCTCATTAGCATCTCCCTTGGTGAGACTGACTATTGTCCTCTCACTGAGCAGGTGAGATCTCGGAAGTGAGAAAAGATTAAGGGCACTATCCAGTCACTGGGTGCAAGGGCAGACTTCTGGGATGTAAAGTGATGGAATGGCCCAGCATCGTGGGGCCTCCTGTTAGAGTGAGTGAGGCAGCAAGATCTCCAGGTCATGAGACCGCTTTTCCACAACAGGCCCCTCCGCCTATTCTCAGATTCTTGAAAATTGTTAATATTGGACAAGACCTTTTTTTTTTCCTATCAGTTCAGTTCAGTCGCTCAGTCGTGTCTGACTCTTTGCAACCCCTTGGACTGCAGCACGCCAGGCCTCCCTGTCCATCACCAACTCCTAGAGTTTATTCATACTCATGCCCACTGAGTCGGTGATGCCATCCAACCATCTCATCCTCTGTCGTCCCCTTCTCCTCCTGCCCTCAATCTTTCCCAGCATCAGGGTCTTTTCCAGTGAGTCGACTCTTTGTATCAGGTGGCCAAAGTATTGCAGTTTCAACTTCAGCATCAGTCCTTCCAATGAATATTCAGGACTGATCTCCTTTAGGATGGACTGCTTGGATCTCCTTGCAGTCCAAGGGACTCTTCAGATCTTATCCAACACCATAGTTCAAAAGCATCAATTCTTTGGCACTCAGCCTTCTTTATAGTCCAACTCTCACATCCATACATGACCACTGGAAAAACCATAGCCTTGACCAGATGGACCTTTGTTGGCAAAGTAATGTCTCTCCTTTTTATATGCTCTCTAGGGTGGTCATAACTTTTCTTCCAAGGAATAAGCATCTTTTAACTTCATGGCTGCAGTCACCATCTGCAATGATTTTGGAGCCCCCCAAAAATAAAGCCTGTCACTGTTTCTACTGTTTCCCGATCTATTTGCCATGAAGTGATGGGACTGGATGCCATGATCTTAGTCTTGTGAATGGTGAGCTTTAAGCCAACTTTTTCACTCTCCTCTTTCACTTTCATCAAGAGGCTCTTTAGTTCTTCTTCACTTTCTGCCATACAGGTGTTGTCATCTGCATATCTGAGGTTATTGATATTTCTCCCGGCAGTCTTGATTCCAGTTTGTGCTTCATTCAGCCTCGTGTTTCTCATGATGTACTCTGTATAGAAGTTAGATAAGCAGGGTGACAATATACAGCCTTGACATACTCCTTTCCCTGTTTGGAACCAGTCTGTTGTTCCATGTCCAGTTCTAACTTGCTTCCTGACCTATATACAGATTTCTTAAGAGGCAGGTTAGGTGGTCTGGTATTCCCATCTCTTTCAGAATTTTCCATTTTTGACTATAACTAGCCATAAAGCTAATTTAACACATGGAAAAATTGTCCATGGAATTAAATTTTTCATGAGTGAACAAGCTGTATCAGAGCTGTTCTTTAGAGTATTCTGGATTTTTAATCATCGGTTAGTCTTCTCATCTACAAAGCTTGGCCAGTATTCCCAGCCACCTTTACACCTTTGGAACCTTTAGCACCACCGCTTGCACCCCTGTGCAGTCTTAGGCAAGTAACCCACCCTCCCTGAATTTGGGTTTCCACCCCTGTGTTAAAGGGGCAGTAGTATTTTTCTTCACAAAAGGCAGGTTGGTATAGTGGAAAGGCAGTGGCTTTGGCTCAGACCTGTGTGGACCTAGGTAGAGTCTTTCTGTGTCTTTTTGAATCTTAGCTTCCTCGTGTGTAGACGAGAACAAACCCAAAGCTGGCAACCAGAGTCGGCCCTTTCACGGTTGAGGAGCGGAGAAGAGAGGAGGACCACACGCTCCTGAGCTGCAGCTCTTCTCTGGAGGCCCCACCTTCGTGGCCTTGACTCACCTGCTGCCTCTGGATTTGCAGAGCCCTTAATGAGGGAGACTTTGCCCTTTTAGGCAGGTTTATCCTCCGACCTAATCCTCACAAGAGCCAGGGGCAGGCGTGGTCGACCCTGGCTGCAGCCTGAGGCTGACGTGAGGCTGAGACCTGTGACCGGAACCAGCACCACGCCCTCTGTCCCACCGGGGAACTCACTGTCCCCAAACCTTTAAGCTTTTGGAACTGGCTGTTAATCCAGCTAATGAGGAGGAGAATAGGGGCACGGCCCCCAGAAGCCTCTCTCCCCAGGGCCCTCATCCTACCCTGCATTAGCAAGTCTAGGGCATTTGCATTTAAGAAATGCACGTCAGGGTGCCCCCTTGAAATCTTGAGGCAGGTCCTGGATTTCTGCTGAAAAGAGAGATCACCGACAGGGCAGGAAGTTTCAGGTGATGGTGTGCATTCTGCGGGTACCAAGCAGGTAAAAGCGGGAGAGCGGTGTGCATTCTGCGGGTACCAAGCAGGTAAAAGCGGGAGAGCGAAGAACTGGAAGGAGAGAGAGAGAGTGGACCTCTGGGCGGAGGGGAGCCGCAGGAGAGCTGTGGAAACAGGCCTCAGCACACACTTCCTGCCCTCGAGGGGCTCAGAGCGGCCCAGGCGTCTCTCAGTTCCTGCCAGCTCGCAGGGACCACACCAGCTCCTTGAAGACAAGGAGTGTCGTCTGTACTTTTCACTCCTGTGCCCCAGTGCCTCGAGCTATGCCAGGCATCTGTTAATAGTAAGGGCTCAGGAAACAGCTGATGGCGTGGGCTGCACATCAGGGTTTCTCCCATGATTGAGCATGTCAGCCATGGTGACCAAGGCTTGGCCAACCTTCAGCAGCCTCTAGCTGTCTCCAGTCACCTCTGAGTTACAGGCAACCTGGCCAGTGGACTCAAGCGCTTTCCCTGCTGTGTTTAAGCCCCTCTCTGCATTCGTGTTTCAGGATAAAATTACCCCTCACGGTGGAAGAGATCGCCAGCTTCGGGGAGGGCAGCAGGGAGCTGTTCGTGAGGTCCAGTACCTACAGCCTCATCCCCATCACCGTGGCTGAGGCAGGCCTCACCATCAGCTGGGTCTTCTCCTCCGACCCCAAGAGTATCTCCTTCAGCGTGGTCTTCCAGGAGGCCGAGGACACACCGCTGGATCAGTGTAAGGTGAGGCTGGCTCCCTGCCAGCAGGATGCCTGGACAGCCCTTCCCTGGACTGTTCTGAGAAAGACACAGAGGGAAACCGGGGTGGAAAAGCCCACCAGCCTGCGTCAAGCAGAGCAGGTGACGCAGCTGGGCTTGTCCAGTGGGGACGGAAGGGCCCAAGAGCTGTCTCCTAGCGTCTGAAGGCCATTCCTGGGTCAGCTTCAGACAGGACTCTCGGATAGGTCGGTAGGCGAAACTGAAAGGAATACAGATGTGTGACTCAGGTTAAGGATCGTATTTTAACAGAGTCGTGGAGAGCAAGAGTGGGTCATCACGGGAGGTGGTGACCAAGATCTCTGCTTCCAGTTTTGAGCTTGGGGCGTCCAGCACCTCACTTCAGATTGGCCGAAGGAGACTCACAGCATTTGTGTCAGTTGGGTGGTTGGGTTGGGAACCTCAGCAGCAGACACCAGTTCATAAACTCCTGAGAAATCCTAAGCATGTGACATTGACTGGCTGGGACGGTCATCCTCAGTTTTGATTGCACATTAGAAACACCTGGGAAACATTTTTAAACGCACTTCTGGGTCCATAACCCAGACCCCAAAATCAAAATCACTAAGGAGAACCCAGGCATCCCTGGGCGATCCCAGTGGGCACCAGGGTTGAGAGTCACTGGTCTCGATCAAGGGTAAGAAGTCAGAGGAGAAAGGACGGGATAAGTGCAGAGCCCAGGACAGCGAATAGGCCTCTGTGGGGGCTGGTTCCTTGTGGGCCGGAAAGCGGATGGGGTGGGGGTGGGGGGGGTGGGAGGGGAACAGGGTCTGAATTCCTTGCCTGAGTCTCTGCAGGCAGGGTGCGAGTGGTGATGGAAGTTCGAGTTCCATAGGAATCACTGTGAGTGGAAGGTATGATGAGGACAGGCACACAGGCTGGATTGCAGCTCACGGTGCATCCCAGGCTTTTAATACAAAATCTCCATTTTCTAAGAGTGAAGCTGGAGAGCAGCAATTTGAAGTGGTGTGAAAGAAGCCTTCTGTGAAGTGTCTGTGATGATATCCACTAGTCCCTCATGCCTGTGATCCTCGGGGTGTCCTAAGGGGCTCAAGTCACGGCCTGGGGAGGGCCCAGAGCCCCAGGAGGGCCAGGCTCTGGTGCGCTGGGCACACAGATCGCCACTCCGGCTCCAGCATCTCTGTGAGGGACGTCTGTCCCTCTGGGTTTGCTCTCCTGCCGTCCCTGTCCTTGTGATACCTGCTGATTACAGATTGCTTTGTCATGTTTCTCCTCTTCAGATTCATGCCTAAAATTGAAATCTGGCCCCCTGAGTTGGCCTTCTTAATCAAAGTTTCATGCTCTTTCTTATTTAAAAACTGCCCTGCCCCTCTTTTCCTTTCGGTGGCTCATGACCTCGCCACACGTGTAGGGAGCCCCTCCTTCCTGAGCAATTCTGGACATCCACCTGGGAGGTCCTGGGCCTGTGGTTGGAGAGCGGTTACAGGCTCAGCCATGCCAGAGCAGCCTGCCCTTGCAGTTGGTTGAGCAGCTTAAGCAGTGGGTTTATCAGCTCTGCACGAACAGACAGCTGCACTGCCCAGAACTCACTCCAGCACCCTCGCTGTTCACCTCATGTTCCCAAGGCCGGCTGAGCGCTGAAGCCCTGTGTCTGCCCAGATTAGACACAGGTGGGTGTCCATGGTGAGAGAGGGAAGGGACACATCCTGTGTCCACACCTGTCTCCTTGCTCAGTCACTGCCTGGCTAATCCTCATGGCCCTGGAAGACCTGGCTGGTTCCTCCCAGGATTCAGGAGCTCAGTCAGGATCCTCATCTCTGGCTCCCTTGTTGCCTGGAGGTTATGGCAGCCGTTGTCTTTCCCACAGTGGTCGCCAGGGGGCAGAAGAAGCTCACGGTGAGTGAGTGGGTGCTCACGCTGCTCCTCTGCCATTCCCAGCCCGCTGTGGGGGTGCTGTTACATCTGCCTGAGGTCCCGGACAGGCATCAGCCTGGAGAATCTGTGTCCAGACTCACTTCTTTAGCATTTTGCATGTAGACTCCCCGGGTGATGCCCTGGCCAGCCTGGACCTTATGGGAACAAGAAGACATAGTGCGCCTCGCAGCACTTAGGTTTCATGGTAACGGAGGCTCAGACATGGGGAACTGGGCTGGGTCCTTGCACTCAGTTCACAACCATTCACTGAACTTGTGTGGTAAGGTGGGCTCTGTAAGGCCCGCTGAGGATCAGGAGAGAAGGGCCATGCTGGGATCTGCCCTTGAGGAGCTGAGTGTCGTCAGAGAGAGGCCCTATTAAAGAAACAACTGCCACTCCAGGTGGTGGCTGTCATGATGGGGTGGCACCGGGCGGGGGCTGGGGGAGCAGTAAGAAGGGCGTCTAACCCAGCCTGGGGGGCAGTGATCAAAGCAGGAGACTCCTGGGCCAAACCAAGAGAAGCTATAGGGAGGGGGTGGGAGGGGGCACAGGTTACAGGAGAAGCTTCTAGGCCAGGGAACAGTGTGGCAGGCCAGTCCCATCTCTAGGGCACATCAGATACGCCCCACCGGGGACCACCCTCTCTCCAGAGGGCCCTCCTCCATCAAGGCCGGCCTCGACACTGAGGTGAGAAATTTGGGAAGCACTTGACAAAAGAAGCAGTAAATCATGGACCTGAGGCCACAGGTATGCAGGCCACTGGCCTGAAGCCTGGGATCCAAGATCCGGGCCCTGCCTCTTTTTGCCCAGAGAAGCCAGAGGCCTGCCTGGGGCTGTTGAGAGTCAGGGGAGGAGCCGGGACTGGGAGCTTGACTTTTTATTTTTAAATAGCTTTGAAGAGAGGGAGGTGGGAGGGGGGACTGGGATGGGGAATACATGTAAATCCTTGGCTAATTCATTTCAATGTATGACAAAAACCACTGCAATGATGTAAAGTAATTAGCCTCCAACTAATAAAAATAAATGGAAAAAATAAATAAATAAATAGCTTTGAAGAGATACAATTTACATACCACGTAATTCACCCATTTAAAATGCTCAGTTATCTTAGTATTAGTTATCTTAGCAATTCAGTTATCTTAGTATTATTCAAAGAATTGAATAATTCAAATAATTATAATTGAATAATTCAAAAAATTATTCAAAGAATAACCATCACCACTGTCTAATTTTAGATCATTTTCATCACTGCATAAAGCAAAAAGAAACCCTGTATCCATTCGCAGTCACTTCCCAACCTCCTCCCAGCAACCACCAACCTACCTTCTGTCCTTAGATTTCCTGTTCCATACATTTCATGTGAATGGAATCATGCATTACATGGCCTTTTGTGACTGGCTTTTTCCGTTTAGCATAGAATCATGGCTCTGTACTAGGGCCTCAGGCCACTGGAGTCTCGCGAGAGAGCAGTAAAACCAACTGGACTGTTTTGCAGACATGCAGTATAGATCAGGTCACAGCTGTCCAAGCACAGAGCTCACACGGCAGAGACCTGTCTTACTCAGGTTTACACGGGACCCCAGTCATCTCCTGTCACCTCTGCTGTATGGGCTTTGACACCAATTGTTCAGTTGCTCAGTCATGTCTGACTCTTTGCAACCCCATGGACTACAGCCATTGTTCTTCACTGTCTCCCAGAGCTTGCTCAAACTCAAGTCCATTGAGTCAGTGATACCGTCCAACCATCTCATCCTGTTTTGACTCCTTCTCCTCCTGCCCTCAGTCTTTCCCAGGATCAGGGTCTTTTCCAGTGAGTGGGCTCTTCACATCAGGTGGCCAAAGTGTTGGAGCTTCAGCATCAATGAATACTCCTTCCAATGAATACTCAGGGTTGATTTCCTTTAGGATTGACTGGTTAGATTTCCTTGTTGTCCAAGGGACTCTCAAGAGTCTTCTCCAGCACCACAGTTCAAAAGCATCAATATTTTGGCACTCAGCCTTCCTTACGGTCCAACTCGTATATCCATACATGACTACTGAAAAAATCATAGCTATGACTACTGAAAAAATCATAGCTTTGACTGTACGGACCTTTATCGGAAAAGTGATGTCTCTGCTTTTTGTGTTTTTTATTTTATTACTTGTTGTTTGTTATACACTGTCTAGGTTTGTCATAGCTTTTCTTCCAAGGAGCAAGAGTCTTTTAACTTCATGACTGCAGTCAACACCCGCAGTGATTTTGGAGCCCAAGAAAGTAAAGTCTCTCACTGTTTCCATTGTTTCCCCATCTTTTTGCCATGAAGTGATGGGACCAGATGCCATGATCTTAGCTTTTTGAATATTGAGTTTTAAGCCAGCTTTTTCACTCTTCTCTTTCACTTTCATCAAGAGGCTCTTTAGTTCCTCTTTGCTTTCTGCCATAAGGGTTGTATCATCTGTATATCTGAGGTTCCTGATATTTTTCCCAGCAATCTTGATTCCAGCTTGTGCTTTATACAACCCAGAATTTCACATGATACACTCTGCATATAAGTTAAATAAGCAGGGTGAACAGTATACAGCCTTGACGTACTCCTTTCCCAATTTGGAACCAGTCCGTTGTTCCATGTCCAGTTCTGTTGCTTCTTGACCTGCATACAGGTTTCCCAGGAGGCAGGTAAGGTCTGGTATACCCATCTCTAAAGGATTTTCCACAATTTGACACCAGAGCCTTTGTTAATCTCCCCTAGATGGTTTGGTTGATTGATTTAAAGTAATAGCAAGAAAATCTTACAGATTTTTAACATGGTGGAAGAAACAGCAGCTGGAATGAACAAAATGTCTATAGACTATTTTAAAGAAATAAAGAGTATTATCTTACCTCTCTTCTTCAGAAGTTCCTGCTTCGACAAGCTCTTGGCTTTTGCTTTGTAATCAAAGTAGTGTGTGGGAAGGTTGGTGTGCGGGGCCCACAGGCGTCCCCGTGTAAGCCTTGCTCCCCGGCACTTCCTCCTACATGTGCTTGCTGAAATATCTCAGGCTGGGCTCAAAACTTTTAGGTTATGGATCACAGGAACAGACCCAACCACTCAGCCTCCCAGGATTCTCAGTTCCCTGTAGAACTAGAATATGATAAACCATTAATGGAGCTTGATAAGATAGCATGTTGTACATGGTAGAGGAGCTGCCGCAGAGCCCACACGCAGGCGGTCCTCACACATCTCAGCCCCTCCCGGCTTGTCTTGGCCCATCCTGCTGCCTCACCACCACCGGGCCTGCAGTCAGAGCCGGTGTCCCGTGGTGGCAGGAGCCTGCTGTGTGCTCTCGCTCTCCCAGGCCTTTGGGGTCTCCCTTTTGAGTTTTCTCTGACTCATGTGTTATTTAGTTTCAGATATTTGGGGATTTTCTAGACAACTGCAGTTTTTTTCTAACTTAACCCCTTTGCCAGAAAACACACTTTTTATAGTTTGAATCCTTTTAAATGTAATTTTTAATAGCCTAGAATGTGACCCACCTAGCGATTATTCCAAGTATACTGGAAAAGTCTGTCACTGTTTCCATTGTTTCCCCATCTACTTGCCGTAAAGTGAACAGATGCCATGATCTTAGTTTTTTAATGTGGAGCTTTAAGCCAGGTTTTTCACTCTCCTCTTTCACTTTCATCAAGAGGCTCTTTAGTTCCTCTTCACTTTCTGCCATTAGGGTGGTGTCATCTGCATATCTGAGGTTATTGGTATTTCTCCCAGCAATCTTGATTCCAGCTTGTGCTTCATCCAGCCCAGCATTTTGCATGATGCACTCTGCATATAAGTTAAATAAGCAGGGTGACAATATACAGCCTTGACGTACTTTTTTCCCAGTTTGGAATCAGTGTGCTGTTCCATGTTTGGTTCTAACTGTTGCTTATTGACCTGCATACAGATTTCTCAGGAGGCAGGTAAGGTGGTCTGGTATTCCCATCTCTTGAAGAGAGTGAAAACTGTGAATCACAGGTTGTTGTGATTCATGCAGTCAAAGGTTTTGGTTAGTCAATAAAGCAGAAGTAGATGTTTTTCTGGAAGTCTCTTGCTTTTTCAGTGATCCAATGGATGTTGGCAATTTGATCTCTGGTTCCTCTGCCTTTTCTAAATCCAGCTTGAACATCTGGAAGTTCTCAGTTCCCATACTGTTGACGCCTCACTTGGAGAATTTTGAGCATTACTTTGCTAGTGTGTGAGATGAGTGCAATTGTGTAGTAGTTTGAGCATTCTTTGGCATTGCCTTTCTTTGGGATTGGAATGAAAACTGACCTTTTCCAGTCCTGTGACCACTGCTGAGTTTTCCAAATTTGCTGGCATATGGAGTACAGCACTTTCACAGCACCATCTTTTAGGATTTGAAATAGCTCAACTCGAGTTCCACCACCTCCACTAGCTTTGTTTGTAGTGACGCTTCCTAAGGCCCACTTGACTTCACACTCCAGGATGTCTGGCTCTAGGTGAGTGATTACACCATTATGGTTATCTGGGTTGTGAAGATCTTTTTGGTGTAGTTTTTCTGTATATTCTTGCCACCTCTTCTTAATATCTTCTACTTAGGTCCATACCATTTCTGTCCTTTATTTTGCCCATCTTTGCGTGAAATGTTCACTTGGTATAGTGACAGACTTTATTTTCTTGGACTCCAAAATCACTGTGGACAGTGACTGCAGCCATGAAATTAAAAGCTGCTTGCTCCTTGGAAGAAAAACTATGCAAATCTAGACAGCATATTAAAAAGCAGAGACACTACTTTACCAGCAAAGGTCTGTCTAGTCAAAGCTATGGTTTTTCCAGTAATCATGTATGGATATTAGAGTTGGACCTTAGAGAAAGCTGAGTGCCGAGAATTCATGCTTTTGAACTGTGGTGTTGGAGAAAACTCTTGAGAGTCCCTTGGATAAGCAAAAAGATCAAACCAGTGAATCCTAAAATAAATCAGTGCTGAAAATTCATTGGAAGGACTGATGCTGAAGCTGAAGCTCCAGTACTTCGGCCACCCGATGCGAAGAACTGACTCACTGGAAAAGACCCTTATGCTGGGAAAGATTGAAGGCGGGAGGAGAAGGGGACGACAGAGGATGAGATGATTGGATGGCATCACCAACTCGATGGACATGAGTTTGAGCAAGCTCTGGGAGTTGGTGATGGAGAGGGAAGCCTGGCGTGCTGCAGTCCATGGGCTCACAAAGAGCCGGACACAAGTGAATGACTGAACTGAACTGATACTGGAAAAGAATGTGTGTTCTGCTATCATTGGGTGGAGTGTCCTATAAATACCAGTTACATCAAGTTAATAGATAGTGCTTAGGATCGTTATATCCCCTTGATGAATTGCTGTTTTTATCATTTATGATACTATCCCTGGCCATATTCTTTGATATAAAATCTACTTTGATACTAATATAGCTTCTTTTGACCAGTGTTAGCATGGTATGGGGCTTCCCTGGTGGCTCAGTGGTAGAGAATCCGTCTGCAGTACAGGAGACCTGGGTTCGATCCCTGGGACAGGAAGATCCCCTGAAGAAGGGCATGGCAACCCACTCTAGTACTCTTGCCTAGAGAATCCCATGGACAGAGGAGCCTGGCAGGTTGTAGTTCAGAGGGTTGTGCAGAGTTGGACACATCTGAAGTGACTAATCAGCAGCAGCATAGTATATCTTTTTACATTCGTTTACTTTTAACTTAGTTGCTCAGTCATATATGACTCTTTGAGACTCGCATGGACTCTAGCCTACTAGGCTCCTCTGTCCATGGTATTCCCCAGGCAAGAATACTAGAATGGGTTGCTATTCCCTTCTCCAGGATGTTTTCCTGACCCTAGGATCCAACCTGAGTCTCTTACTTACTTATTTTTATTCACTGGCTGCACCAGGCAGGGGGGACAACATATTCAGATACACGGGAGAATGGCTAAGATTTACCCTCTCAAGAAATAACCAAAACAGACAAAATATGAGAAGCAACAGTTTTCAAGTCACTGTACAGCAGGCGATGATGGACAGTGATCTTTGATAGAATAAGCTGAGCCCTGAAATTGCCCTAGCTTACTGCTTTGAGGGGAAAAGAGAACAGTCAGCAGATGGAACAAGTGAAAAACAGTAAGATGAGAGACTCAAACCTAACCTTATTGACAGTCGCATAAATGTAGGTTGGGTAAACGTCCCAACTGAAAGGCAGGAATTGTCAAGTTGGATAAAAGCAAGTCCCAACCCCATCATGCCTACAAGCAATAAAATTTAAATGTAAAGACACAAATAAGTTAGGAGTGTGTGTGCTCAGTCGTGTCTGACTCTTTGAGGCCCCTTGGACTGTGCTAACTAAATTGTCCTAGCTCAGCGTTGCCTCTTCCAGGAAGTCTTCCCTGATTCTGCCTCGCCTCCCACCCACACAGAGGCTGGAATTGGCACCCCTCCCCAGTACACCTATTGTGACAGTCTTACCCAACATAACTGAATGTTTTCTTATCTGTCATCACAAAACCACAAAATCCTTAAGGGCAGAACCTTTTGTGGGAACTTACTCCACTTTGGGAACTTTGTGACCACCATGTAGCGTTTCCAGAAATAGGCAGTTATGTTCAACTTTGAGATGCAAAAGTAATCACATCTTTGTAACTGTTTTGGATTCAGTCGTTTATACAGGTTGAAAATATTTACATGTAGGCTTTCTCTAGTTGCAGTGAGTGAGGGCTCCTCCTCATTGTGTGCAGGCTTGTCAATGCAGTGGCTTCTCTTGCTGTGGAGCATGGGCTGTAGGTGTGCAGGCTTCAGTAGTTGCAGACCATGGGCTCAGTAGTTATGGCTTGAGGGCCTAGTTGCCCTCAGCATGTGGGATCTTCCCAGACCAGGGAACAAACCCGTGTCCCCCTGTGTTGGCAGATGGATACTTAACCACTGGACCAGCAGGGAAGCCCTCCCAAAAATATTTTTAATTTTGGCTGGCTTTGTGTTACTTCCTCTTTTATCTTTAGCTTTAAAGTATCTTACCTGGCCAGCAGGTTGAAGACTCTGCCCATGGGGAAGAGGTTGGCCATCCCAGGACCCCAGCCCCAGCCCTGGCCAGCTCACACCATTTGCTCAGACTTGGCCTCTGACATCGAGGCCCAGAGAACAATGTCCTCAGAAAATAAGTGTCTCCTGGGATTAGTTTCTCATTCTCAGAGGAGATAGGAAGCTGGAGACCTGGAAAGATGAAAGGGCTCTGGGACATACGGACTGACTGGGGCCAAGTGAGAAGCCGTGGGTGGAACCTTGGGTGGTCAGCCTGGAGGAAAGTAGACCCAGAAGCTTCACAGAGTGCCCAGGAGACGTGGCTGGAGGCCGTGGCCCGTCCTCTGACAGCCCCAAGTGCAGCAGCACTCGCACCGATAGGAACGGACCAGGCAGTGTTTCCCCTGGAGTAAGCCTCTGCTTCCCGAAGCAGGAAGAAGCTGCTTCTCTGGACAGCAGAGCGTTCCAGCGCTGGCCATGGTCAGAGGAGGCTGGGGGGACCATTCTTTTAGGATGCTGACCTATTCATGATTCTGGGTGAAACTCATGTCTATAGCGCCCCCCCCATTGTAAGTTATTGACAAACCCAGGGCATGTGGAAGGACACCCCCCAAAATTGGGGGCTGATGAGGCTCAGCTGTGACCTCACACGAGGCATTCAGCCTCTCTAGGCCTCAGTTTCCTTCCCCCAAATAGAGTCTGCGCAGAGGCTCTGTGGTACCCTCTCCACTTCTGTGACACTTTCCCATCTGCTTCTCCTCCCAGGTGCTCATTCCCACCACCCGCTGCAATTCCCACAAGGAGAACATCCAGGGCCAGCTCAAAGTCCGCACACCAGGCATCTACCTGCTCATCTTCGACAACACCTTTTCCAGGTAGGCCACCGCCTTGGTCAGCGTCCGGATGAACCCACCCCGCACCCCACCTCGAGGACAGAGGTGGATGTTTAAAAGCAGTTGTTTAATTATCAGTCCCTGATTATCAGTGGTTCATTAATTTTAGACCTATACGCTGGTGTTCCAGTGTCCATTAGAGAGCGTGTAACACACAACCCAGTCCTTACAGAGTCTTACCACAGGTCAAGCGTGTTCTCCACCCTCTGCTCTTGTTAATACTACTCCCCCTCAGCCCCGCAGCAGCCCTGTGCCGTGGGGTCTTTCTCCTCGTGTTACTGCTGAGGGGCTGAGGGCCTGGACGAGGGGCACTCCCGATCACACAGCTGGTGATGGGGCTGGGTTGGACCCAGGTGGCCTGGCTCCAGGCTCTAGGCTCCTGCCCGGGATGCTCTTCTGCTTCTGCCGTCCCGATGCCCACCGCCCAGGCCAGAGAAGAGTTCAGAAAATACAGTGGAAGGATTGGGTGGATGGGTGGGTGGGACAGAAGTGAAGAAGTGAAGGCCCAGAGCTAATCAGGACTGGAGCTGTGAGGCGAGGCCCCTGGGCCCCCTTGTCCAGGGAGTGGAGCAGCAGGTGCCACCTCGGGGAGCACGACTTCAGAGCTCGAGGTGCAGGTCCAGGAGCGAGTGCAGGGTTGAGGGGTCGGGAGGGCGGGGGTGTAGGGAGATGAGGCGGCCGAGAAAGGAAGTAGGACAGCAGACCAGCGTTGGTTGAGCGTCTGCCTAGAGCCAGGGGCCTACTTCATGGAGATGTGCGACTGGCACAGTGAAGGCTGCTGGGCACCTGTCCCGCTTCTGGCTTCTGGCCTCAGCGTAAGCCCTTCGCAGGGGCTCGCTTCATTCATAAGACCTGTCTGATTAGCATCCAGCCACATCCCTCTGAGCGGGGCCCTGAGCTAGCGGCTGCACCCCTCCCCATGGGTGCCCTTGCCAGCCCGCTGGGCTTTTAGCGCAGTAACTTATTAGCTATCAAGTAGGTGAGACGCTGGAGTGCCACCCTCTCACCACCTCAGGGCCTTGAACTCCCAGGGCATGTGGCCGTGGGCATCCACCAAGGGAGAGCTTGGAAGAATGGGCTTCCCACCTTTCCCCTTCCCCGCCCTTCCCCCACCCACCCCCAGGAACATGAACACACCCTGCGTTAGCAGGATTCTTGGCATGGGCTCTGCATGTTCAGAAAGCTGGTCAGACCAGGTGTGGGCCTCAGCCCCTCAGGGCAGCGGGTAGGAGACGGGGTGGAGGCCAGCCTGGCACAGGGTCTACTCGCCCCTCTGGGTTTTAGTGGAACCCCAGTTTCCTCTGCGGCGGCAGACAGAATTTTTACTACCTCCTAAGCCCCACCGCAGGTTGACGGAGAGGCTGGGAGCAGCATGTTGAGGGCAGAGGCAGCCCCAGAGCAGCTTTACAGTTGGCATTAGGAGCGGCTGCGGTGCTGAGACACACTGCAGACACACCCTCGCCACTGACGTCATCTCAGGGCCTGGTCAAGGTTTTCAAAGCACGACAGCGGAAGAGATCTAGATGTCCAGTCAGGATGCGATCCCGGCTCGCCTCCGCTGTGTGTGTGCCCTCCACGCCTGCTCCACCCACTTCCCCAGGGCCGCCCAGACCACCGAGACCCCTGAGACACCGCCCGCCCCAGGGCCCCTTCAGAGCAGCAAGACAAGGAGGGGTGCTTCACAGCATGGGACTGAACGGGCATTTCTGCACCCAAGCCCCAGGATAGTCCACGAAGGTGTCCTAAGATCCTGACACTTTGCAGGAAGATGTCTCTGCTAGACAGACAGGAAATGGGGGTGAGGTGGCCCGGCAGAGTCCACGCAGTCTGTGAGGGACTCCAGGCTCAAAGCAGAGGTCTTTGCACCAAGGCTTCCCATGTCAGCCAGCACCCACCCCAGCAAGGTCACTGCAGCTGCCACCCCTCAGGCTTCAGCCCTCAGAATAACCCCTCCTTTCCCATTCATCTCCTCAGATTCGTCTCCAAGAAAGTCTTTTATCACTTAACTGTTGACCGGCCTGTGATCTACGATGGAAGTGATTTCCTGTAACCTCAAGTACCTGGATTTTACTAGTTTCACATTACCCACAGGAAACACTACTCCTCCTCACTTGTCACGTAAAGCACCTAAAAAACCCAGAAAACAAAAAATAGCTGCTCTAAAGCTATCAGTCTCCACCATGCAACTTTAGGAGACAGGCCCTTGGCTGCTCCTCAGAGCCGCGCTGCTCCGAGCGCCGGGTACCCGGCCCTGTGCACGTCGCTCTTAGCCCCGGGGCTCGAAGGGCTCACGTGACACTCTCCATTGTCCTCACACCCGGAGGGACACTATGCCAAAGGTTGGCCTCTCCAGGGGGCGCAGTTGGCTCCAGGCCTCCTGTGAAGAGTTTCCTGGGACAGAAGGGCCCCGACTTCCGCCCGTGGAGAGACACAGCCCCGCTGTGCCCAGCCAGGCGTCACAGGTGACCGTGAGCTGGAATGCCTGGTCAGACCCTGTGGGGTCCTGAAGCCCTCCCCGGGAAAGGACGCCGGGGTGCCTAGGGGCCCGCCTGAGAGCCCCTCGAGCTCCCTCCGTCCTGCTCCTGTCCCCTCCTGCCCGGGGAGTGCGGGGCTGCTCGGAGGGGCTACCAGCTGCACTTTTCTCCTGGCCCTTCTGTCTGGGCAAGTCTGTCCCGGGGCAAAGCCCTCCACTCAGCTGGGCCTCTCAGCAGCTCAAAATACCACCCTAAGAACCAGAAGTGAAGCTAATCCAGGAAACAGAACCCACCTACTGAGGGCCTGCAGTGCAATCTACGTCCAGATGGCCAGAGCCCAGGTGCTGGGTAACGTCCACGCCATGACCAAAAGGCTGGACGCATCAGCCTGTCATCAGTGGGCTGAGGGCCCACTCCTCAGCCTGTCTTTGTTATTATTAACAAGAGCTTCTGCAGATACGTTTACTAGTGATCATATACAGGGCAGGAACCACTTTTAAAATTCGGGGGCTTCTTAAGAGAAGTCTTTGCTAACTCAAGTGCAAACGGGCATAATTCATGAATCGGCTCCTTGCTCACCTCTCAGTCCCTCCTCCTCACCTGCTTAGATTCCCCACACCCCTTTTGCCCACTTCCTGCTGCTCAGCCTGCACCTGACACCTGGGAGCAAATGAATCCTCTTGTCCTTTTCCGGGACAAGAAGCAGATAATCTTCCTGTTCTCTGTGGCCCTTTTCTCCCTTTTCTGAGAGCTCACCTTTGACGGCCTCTCTGTGCCCTGTCGACAGGGCAGCCAGGACCCAGGTCCTTCCGCAGTGAGCAGAGATCTGGCCAAGCAGCCCACCTCAGCTGTCGTCAGGGGAGACCGTACCCGGCAAGGCGACTGCAGGTCTGAGTACCCCGCCAGGCCTTCAGCTAGCCCGGTGACTAAGCCGAGTCACACCACGTCGAAGCTTCATCTCGTCATTCACGAGCCTGGTCTGGCTGGTTTTGAGAACTGACAAATGGGTCAAGAATCCTTGGCCAAGTTCAGTTCAGACCCCATACCCCCCAGGCACCAGCAGAGGTAGGAGGAAATGACTTTGGCAGTAGACTCAGAACTTCCATTTAAACAAGAGACATAGGCACTTCCAGGCACTTTAAGTGGGGCTTGAGACATGGTGAACAGAACCTTCCAGAAAAGAACTGGCCCTCTCATGCTCTTTCCTGGGAGCAGTACCTATGTCAGAAAGCCAGGAGTCTCTAGCATCTCATTGAGCAAGGTCCTGACGGTGCCTAGCACCAAAACAGAAATAGCCAGGCCCCCAGAGACTTCCTAGATGCGTGCTTGTCCTTACAGGGTGCCACACTGCTTGAAAGCGAACTGCCCTGCCTTTAAACCCATCTCCCCCTTGAAAAGGATAATCAGATGTAGCTGGATCACCACTTGAGAGAAACAAAAGACCCCGAAGCATCTGGAATCTCGGTTTGAGTGCTTAGCTTTCCCAGGATACCCTGGAGACGTGGCCAAGCCGACGGCCCTCTGCTCATGTTACCACCGTCACCTGCAGCTCGAATCAGCATTTCTCGAGTAGCTGATGTGTTTCCTGCGGAAGGCCTGAGACATTCCATCTGAGGCTTGTTCTGAACCTCTGTCACTCCACCCAGCAGGGGACCAACTGCAGCTTAAAAAAAACCTGTGGCTCTTGTGAAGCCAACCCAGAGCCACTGCTGCAGGAGCTCATGGGCCCCTTGTGCCAGCACTGCAGACGGTGATGGCAGTGGTGCAAAAAGGCCTTCGCCTGCCCACTGCAGCCCCACCCTGCCTCTGCAGCGTATTTATTTTTTTGTGCTGAATGGACTCTTGTTCTTCGTTACTTTGCTGTGGGAGCTCGGGTTTGCTGTGCAGCTAGAGGACATCTTGGCATGTTTAAGTATGGCTTATATAAACTGCTTTCTTATTTTAAACAAGTTCCCAACTTTACTGAAGTTTGGGGGTTGAGGTATTCTTTTTAATGCAAACGATAATGAAAAACAGCTATTGAAAGTGGTGGCCCCAGCCAGTAGACTGAATTAACACTAAAAGTCAACAAGTAGGAAACATTCTTGGGATCCCAGATCACTATCTTAAAAAAAAAAAGAAAAATCCCCCAGCAGCCTCTTTGGGGTCTGGCTGAACTCTCTGAAGAACTGTTGCTGTTTAGTGCTGATTAGTACCAGCTGCCTTGCTCACCACTGCCTTGGAAGCCACTGATCACCCTCGCCCAGGAACATGGCCTCTGTCAGGCACCCTCCTCCACCGCCAGCAAGCGTGTTTGGGAGAAAGCGTAGCCCCTGCAGGGCACTTCTGGCTGGAGCCCACCTACTCCATATCCTCTGGACCAAGAGCAGGCAAGGAAATTCTCAAGCAGAAAGCTGGAACTGAAACACTACATAGGGTCTGAAAAGTACGAACGCAAGCCACACTAGATAATTCAGAGATAAAGGAGATGGGTTTTTTTGAATTATTTTCAGTTGTCACTCACCTTCGGTGGTGAAGCCATTCCAGACTCATCTGAAAAGAAATCCCCATTTGGGGATGAAATCTCAGAGTCTGTGTTTTATCATTCTGGTTATCTGTCCACCATATGCTTTTATAGGAGTTTCAGTTTTAGAAGCCCACCTTGGTGACTCCACCTTGGAGAATCCCAACCTCAGCTCAGAGGTGTTGAGAATGAGAGCAGAGCCACCCCCTGCAATGCTCCCAACCAAGGGTCACCCGGCACAGAGAATATGGAATCAGCCATCTACGTTTACAAAACACTTACCCAAAAGGTTCTTTTCAGTGGAACCCTGGGTGAATTTTTCTCTTTTGTGGTGCTTCCAAGGAAACAAAGGCAGTTAATAATGCCTTTCCTCTCTTAAGCACTTTTTCAAAATAACACAGTACATCTTTAAATTTGGGGAGGCATTTCTGATAAAAAGGTTTCCTCAGACCCTGAGGACAAGGGCTGTCCAGAGATGCTCCTGTTCCCCCATAGCTGCAGAGCAACAGCGAAGCCTCAGTTGGGTGGCTTTCAAATCGGAATTGCACTTTAATTGACCAATCCTCAGTGCTCGAGGCCTTATGGGGTAGTGGGTCTGGGAACCCATCTCTTTTTTATCTGCCAAAGAATTACCAGAAACACATCAAATGCCAACTCTCCACCTGCCCAGTGGGGGTGAGGAACTTTTGTATCCCAAAACAGTCCGTATAGCATCTGCTGCACCATTTGGCAATGTCTTATTTTTAATCTCAGGATTTAAATAAACACTTTGACATTGAGAGTGGTGTCACCTTTCATTCCACTGAGACATAAGGTGAGAGATGCAGTTGCACACAGCAGAGTTGGGACAAAGCTATTGGGCGTGTCAAGTCCTGTGACTTTTCAAAAGGGAAAAAAAAAAAAAAAAGCAGCTGTTCTAAGAGGTTGCCAAATTGGCCTGGTTTCTGGACCCACAGTCTGCGCTGAGGTCCGAGTTCAGACCTGCCTCAGCCAATGCAATGCACCAACCCACTGCCCTGTGCCAGAAGAGCTTCTGCGTTCAGCGAAATTCCCCAGCCCTCCCCTGGTCCACGAAGAGCAGCCTGATTTACCAGAATGATGGAGTCGGGGAGGAGGTCACAGGTGGCCTAAAACCATGGTTAGCCAAGCTGAATCCAAATCTAGGCAAAACTGCTAGAGGAGGCAGCAGAGAGGGGCAGCGAAGACCCTGGACATGGGCCCCGAGGGCCGTGTCCCAGTCACTCCTCCCCTGGGCGGACTGAGCTTAGGCCAGGCAGTCCATCCGCACTCACCTCTGGGGCGCCCTGCGCCCCACAGGGTCTTCGCAGCCCTCCTTCCCTCCAGTTCCCTTCTTCCAGCCTTCCCCTGCCTTGGATTCTCCTGTGGCCTCTTTCATCAGTTACTCAGGAAGAGATTACACTTTCTGTAAGTGTATTGTTCCGGGCAGGTCCAGGACCCTGTTTCTTTCATCCTCATCTCCCTCCTCTGCCTCACCCCGCAGCATCGAGCACAGAGCATGATGCTCACCAGCCTCTGAATCAGCGAGGATCCTGGGCACCATGGTCAGCCCTAGGCCATCAACAATCCCACTGGCCAACTTGGCCAACTCCCAAAACTCCCATGGTGGAGAAGGACAAAGGTCAAGCCCACAGGGGCGATTTGGGGAGGATGGAGGTGAGCTGGTTACTGGATTGGACACGTGTAACCTCCTGTGCCCTCAAGCCTCTCCTGTCCAGTAATGGAAGAGTGCTCTATCCAAGTGCCTGAAACAGCACAGCAGAAGGAATTCTGTGTTCATAGGAAAGGCCCTGCAGAGAGGCCACGTGGACTGAGCCTAGGAGAACGGACTGGGACCCACAGATAGAGGCTGCTTTATCTGGGCTGGGATCCAGGGCCTCCGCGCCACAATCGTGGTGCACCTCTCCCCACCTGCTGAGCCACCCCCAGGCGAGCAAACCAAACCTCCGCTCCTGGTTTTCCAAGCCCCCACGCGATTCCGGGAATTCTGGCCCCTCTCGGTGTCCGTAGACGCGTGCCACTGCCCGCGGTGCCTCTTCCGCCCGGAGGATGTAGCGATTCCCTGGGTGACTCAGAAGGACACTTCAGCCAGGGTCAGCCCCTCTCGGTTTGAAGATGCGTGGGAAAAATCTGGCGAGTGGAGCCCGCCGCCCACACACATCTGCAAAGCAAATAGATGGTGAAACCTGTCGCCTGAAATGAGAAAACGGACTTTTATTGAGAGAGCGGTTGAAGCTGAAGCCATCAAAACCCAGGGGAGAGCAGAGCTATTGTGAAAGCCGCTCAAAGTGGGTTAGGGTTGAAAGAAAGGTCAGCCTTTTACTTTTCCCACACCCGCTGGTTTCTGAAGAAAGACTGTAAAGCCGAGCCGAAGTATAATCACCAATCTCTGGTCTTTGATCTGTGTCCCCTCGTCCCTCCCCCATCCCTCGAGCTCGTGGGGGAGGCTGGAGGCTGGTGTGGTTTCCTCACCCCTTCTGGCAGGTTCGTGCTGAGGTTATCGCACATTTGGCAGCCCCATCTGAAGCCTGGAATGAGTTGTCTTAGCTCCATAACGAGCAGAGGGAGCCAGGCCTCTCCAAATCCGAGGTGCGATGAGTGTCCTTCCCCAGGGAAGGCCTCATTTCCAGAGCGCCTGTGGCTGCGGCAGGATGCTCAAGGGAAAGGCGATTTCGGGGAGACCTCCCACTGAGCCGTAAGGAGAGAAGGACAGCTTTTCTGGGAGGTCCCCCAGCCGTCTGCCAGGTCAGTGGTGCAGGCACCGTCTTCTTGGCGTGAGAAAGGAGATCGGGCGGGGGGGGGGAGGAGGCCCAAAGCATAGCAGAGCAAAGGAGGGGTGAGAAAGGAGGGTCAGCCGCAGGAAGGGCCTTCGCCAGGGCCACACCGCAGGCCAGGCGAGCAGGTTAGGCTTTCTCATGGGAGGAAAGGAGAGGTGGGGGAATGGCAGGTTTACTGAACAGACGACGAAGGCAGCGACTGCAGGCCTGGAGAAAGGAATCCAGTTTGTTCCTCTGACTCTGAGGCTGACTTCAAGGCCCCACGTGCTTTCACAGAGTGGCCGCAGCATCAGCCCTCAAGTGGCCTTTGCACGATAGACAGGGGCTATGTGTGAAACCAGAGGTCTTTGTAAAGACAGCCCTTCTGCACCAGCGAGGGACCCCACAGACCTGTTGGGTGTTCTCAGAAGGACCACACATTCATGCCCCCAAGATGAACCTGTGGAAGAGGGACAGGGACCCATTAGGCCCAGATCAGGTGCACGGGCTCCTTGGTTATCAAGGGTTCAGGTATTATCAGGAAAAGCCCAAGACTCACCGAGGGCTCAATTTTGCTCCAGAGTCAAGCTGTTCATTTATTGTCAGTAAATACAAAGCAAGTAGCAGAGAGTTTCTTAGAAGAAAGTCCTCTTCTTTGGGTTACCTGGTGCCACGTTAAAATACAGAGTCATGGGCACGCTGCATATCAACTCTGGTTCATTGGGTCCAGTTCATTCACAAGTCTGCCAGATGATGATGTTGGTGGAGGTGATCCATGGATCATGCCAGAAAGTCCTTGATGATCACCGCTCTGTCACCACTTTGGTTAGAACTTGAGGAAAGGGGTGAAATCAGCTAATGGATCTGTCTCCTAATTCAGCTTTGCCAGTGACCCTCAAATCTTGAAGCCAGGACCTCTCCCTCAGCTTATTGGTCCAAGCACTGGGATGCAGTGATGGAAATGTCATTCTTAGAGAGGAAGATATTTCCAAATGAACCACCTGGTGTGAAACTATCCTACAGGTAAAACCTTTTCACAACCATAGTTTTTTTATGGCTTTATGTTTTTATTCAAGGGACATGTTACCCAACCAGTCATTTGTAAATGGAAAAACATTCCCTTCCCCAAACCTGAAGTAGTCCGTACGTGTCCACAATTTAAGATTTAGAGGAAGAAATATGAGTTTGGTATCAAAGGGTCTGGGTTAAACAGGGATTCCTAAACTGGTCCATACACAGAATTCAGAAGGTCTGTGAACTTGGGAAAATGACCACTTTCCTTTACTATCTAGCTAAAATTTAGATCTTCTTCAATTATGAATATAGACTACATGCCACATGAGTATGCATTAGCAAGACCTGTGACTCTGCCACTGGTGGAAGTGACAGATATTTTCTTGTTACTTGAAAGTTGTTGCCGACCCTTTCAATATCATTTATGCTCATCTGTACTATGAAATGAAGGTTGTTGTTAGACCTGCTGTAGATTTTTTTAACCATGTTCATGAAGAGATGTATATTCCTAGTTCACAAATTTATTTTAATAGAGAATTATGCTTCAGTGTAATTGGTTTCCCTTGTAATCGTATATATTTTATTCATTTTAAAACGTTCTGAGACTGCTTTGTTAGATTGTCAAAGGGGTACATAAGGGAAAAAAAGGTTAAGGACCTTTGGGTTCTGGCAGGTCTTCATGGAAAAGAAGAGAAAGATCAGCTCATTGCAGCACTGGTTTATTATTTATAACATATAATTAATAGCAGCATAAATAATTTAATAGGCTCTTGCCATAAGTCAGCCACCTCTTACAGATGAGGAAACCAAAGACCCAGGGAAGCTGGTAAGTCTGAACCATTTGGAGAACATGTTACTATAAGACTGAGATGGCTGTGGGAGTAGTTTTCTCCAAACCATTCTCATTTCACTGGAAAATAGATTCTCCAATTATTCAAAAAATAACCTTCCATAAACCAGGCTATGCTGTGGCAGCCCTTGACCTGTAAACCCTTACTATGTATCATCTTCCATACAAGAGGTTTATAAGTTATGTACTGAGAATTACAGCTCATGGTCCCACACTGTCTCAGTGGTCAGATCTCTTCTGCCTCTTACAGGCTTTCTGGATTCCAAAAGTTGAACAAGGGAAAGTGCTGGGGCTCACTCTGCCTTTGTTAGCCTTGCCAGAATATTCTGAGTTCCCTAGATTGTTAGTCCCACTGAGAACGTGTCAACCACAGTGTGAGCCCTATTAGCGTCTGCTCATTCATTCCCAACTAGCTTTATACCTCCCTTGGTCCCTTTGGTGAGAGGTGGCCCAGCCAAACAGGAAGTTTCCATCAAGTATTCATTCACTCATTTAAATCTGGAGGTTTGTAAAGGTAAGAGCATGATTTTATTATTATTTTTATTTACTTTTGGCTGTGCTGGATCTTTGTTGCTGCATGCAGCCTTTCTCTAGTTGTGGAGCATGGGCTGTAGGCACTGAGGCTTCAGTAGCTGCAGCAGCCAGGCTTTCTCGCCCCATAGCACGTGGGATCTTCCCAGATCAGGGATGGAACCCATGTCCCTGTGTTGCCAGGTGGATT